CGAAGGTTCACATTGCTGAATTTTTGTTCATATCATGTTCGCAAGTTGAAAAGTTTATCTTTTCTGGGGCCATGTTTAAAGTTTGGGGCTCGATTATTATAATATGTGTAGTGTGTACATACCTCAGATGGAGATCTTACTATTGATTACTTGAACGATATATGTCAATTATTTGCTAGTCTGAGTTGCCCATTTTCATGTTAGTTTCATTTAAATTGATGTAGGTTCCATTTAAAGAAGTTCCAGAACTTGTGGCTAGTTGCAGAGTGTTCATCCAAAAAGGATATGCATATGTTGCCTTGAATCAGGTGCATTCAGTGTTCCTACTCATTATTTTGTTACACTAATGTAGTACAAGAGATAATTTCTTAATTAATGTTTCTGATCTTAATTGGATGTTCTCTATAATTTCTACTGCATGGTTACTGTATCAATAAGATTTACCAGTTGCTCAGCTTCTACTTCCCAGAAAATGGACATCCATAATTTCTACTTCATAACCTCTATCAGGGGCGGAACACAAACTTTCTAACCGTAGGGGCCGGAACTAGTATATTATATATTTCAAARGTACCAAAAATACATTATCCAAAGTTATAACGTAGTAAAACTCTAAAACTGAACGTTAAATARAAACATGTCAAACATCGCAAATCAAAGTGGAACCCGTCTATCTTTCGCGACCTTGAAGTCTTCTACAATTTCCTCCAAACTAATCTTTTCAGCTACTTCCCTTTCGATGAACAAAAGTAACGAGTCATTTAGAAACTCATCATCCATTTTATTCCGTATTCTTGTTTTCACAATATTCATTGCTGAAAACGATCTCTCGGTTGTCGCGGTAGAAACCGGAAGAGTAAGTAACAGACTTATTAGTCGATAAATAAGATCGAAAGTGGTTTCTCTTCTACTCCTTACCAACCATTGACCCAATTCTGCAAGAGATGTCAATTGCTTATAATCTACATGTTGAACGACATCAATAGCATAATGTTGAAGTTGCATTTTCAGAATTGTTTTCTCATGATCACTGAAATCTTCAGGATAAAACTTCTCTACTAGTTGTCGTACATCAAGACTTCTAAAAGTCTCATACGCATTTTTAGTATCTAGAGTTGAAGCAAGACGAAGCATGTCCATGGAACCATCACTGAAACGATGATCTAATTCCATTAATTGACAATTAATTGCTTCATAAAAGATATCCACTCGGTAATGATGCTCAAGTGTATGATCACTATGCTCATTACGAGCTCGATTCCCTCTGCTAACGTAGGAAGAAGACAAGTCAGGAATATCTATGTTACGTACCTGACAAGAAAACAAGTCGAGAAGAAGACAAGTTAGAAAGATTTACTTGTTATGTTACTAAACAACTTTAAAAGCAATTCATCTACATGTTGGGTAGTCCCACTAATATGAACATTAATGCTAGATATTGTTTGAAAGAAGTACAGTGGAGCTCTTGACCACTTGTTCCAATTCCACCTTTGTAGGCTGTAGCAATCTTGGATTATTGGGTTCATCTTTGTACACTGTAAGTGTACATCGACTACAAATTTGATAGCTTCAAAAAATTCAAGAAACTATAAACTATCTATGGCTTCCCWAACACTAACAAAGAGCAAAAGCTTGATATCTGCTTCCAGAAAAGAAAGTGTTGAATCTGGGTATTTTAGATTGAACTATAATAACATTAACGTTTTAACGTTGAATTACGATGGCCCAGAAGGCAGAAGTATCAAGTGTGTACAGGCCTAGTCCTAATCCTGGGTTTAATGTTTRGGATTTCGGAAGAAGCTCGCCAAAAAATTCAAGAAACTATAAACTATCTATGGCCATGGATAATGGATTAATATACAGGTAACACCAAGTAATAATATTTTAAACCAAATCAATCAAAATATCAAACAAATTTTAGACCTAAATCACCTAATCTAAACAGTAATCACTAAGCAAACTTATACACATATTGTACATACGGACATATCACATACGCAGGCACATACGGTAGAATTTTATACATATGGGAATGGGGAGAAGAAGTCAAGAAGCAGAGCAATAACAG